CCCCGCGGGGACGAAGGACGCCTGGAGGCCCCTGCCCGCGCCGGGGGCGAAGGCCCCGGCCCCCCCTGCCCGCATCGCCGCTCCCGGGCTGGCCCCCGGCCGCCGAGGGTCCCGGTCCCAGGGCTGGGGGGAGCCGGGCTGCCCCCTGCCCCCCGGCTGAGCCGGCCCTGAGCCGGCAGGGCGGCTGTGGGGCGTCGAGGAGCCCCGGAGGGGCCACGGCACCCTGCCCCTCCCCGGCCCCATGGCGGCCAAGTGGTTCAAGGAGTTTCCCTCCAACCTAAAAACGGTTTCGGAGAGGGCTCGGCCGGGCAGCGGTAGCCTGGGCAAGAGCCGCAAGAATTCGGCCGCGGAGCTGGGGGGCTGCCGGGCCAGCCCGGGGGGTGGCAAGGAAGGGGGTGGCCGGCTGTCGAGGGACAACCTGCAGGGTCTGCTCCAGGCCGCCACCGGGAAGATGCGGAAGAACTCGCGAGCGGAGGGGGTTGCGCCGGAGGGACCCCCTAAATCCTGTGGCACCTACATCAACCGCCTCATCAAGGTGGAGGCTCACGAGAAGAACGGGAAGGGGTACCCTGCCCCCCCACCCGCCGACCTGCCTGCCCCCGAGCAGGACAAGGGGAAGACCCCCAAGACAGAGACGGTAAGGGGGGAGGACGGGGGGAAACTGAGGTTTGGGGGGGGCTTGCCACACTGACAGCTTTAAATGCTTTGGGCTCTGGCTCATTAGCCCGGCTGACCCCGGCCTTTCATCGCGCTCGGCTCTGCCGCCTTCAAATCCCCTTCAAAGCTCCCTTCATCCCACTGCCCTTCGGCTGCTGGGTGGGGGGAGCGCTCGCCGGGCCCCCCCATTGCGTCCCTCTGTGTCTCATCCCACCCTGACCCCGACACTCGGTTGCTGGTTAAACAAAGGCTGACGTAAAGCTTTTCTGGGAAGCTGGACTTTCACCCCCACACAGCCCCGGGGTGGCTGAGAGCCAGTCGGGGGGGGGGGGTTGGGGTCACCTGAAAGGGTCCCCAAACCTCCCAGGCTCCTCCCCACCTCTGGGGTGCATAGGGATGGGAGCCCCCACCCAAGACTGTGCCCTGGTGGGGTGGTGTCATGGCTCCGTCCACCCCACCTGAGTTGCCATCCCCTCCTGGGGACTGCAGTGTCCCTGTCCCCTGACTGACTCTGTGCTGGTGTCATCCCTGCCACCCTCTCCCCCCCACCCCCAACCTGCACATCCCAGGGGGACCCCCTTGGCAGCCCCCTGAGGCTGGGGGTGTCCGTCCCCTCCCCAGGTCATCATCCTGGAGGACTACGCCGACCCTTACGATGCCAAGCGCACCAAGGGGCAGCGGGAGGCCGAGCCCCGGGGGGAGAACGACGGCTACATGGAGCCCTATGACGCCCAGCAGATGATCACAGGTACGTGCCGCGGCTGGCACCGCTCCCCCGCCGGGAGCACGTGGCCGCCCTCGGAGCCGCCCGGCGCGGGAGGCTCCGGGAACAGGAAAACCTCTCGCCGCTTCCTGCGGCTGCGCGGGGCCAGATAAGGAGCGGGCGCGAGGCCGGACGCTGACCCGTGCCCGCCAGCCCCTCGCCCTCTGCCACAACCCGCCGCCATTGCCCCACGGGGGCACAGGGCCGGTGCAAACCCTCGATGCCACCCGGCTGTCCCGGGGTGGTTGTTGGGGGGGGGGACAGAGCCGCCTTGAGGGTCCCCCCACGGCCGTGCCCCCCAGGCAGCGACCCCCTGGCCGGCGCGGCGGCCGCCCAGCTGGCCAGAACAACAGGAACTGACTCGGCCGGAAGCTGGAAATAAAAGATTTGCTGCTGATGGTTTTTTTCCGTGCGGGGCAGCCCGGGCTGTTTGGCGGAGCCCGGCGCCCTGGGGTGAAGCCAGGGGGGTCGGGAGCCGGCGGGGCGGGTCTGAGCCCCCCAGGGTGGCCTCCTGCGGGGCTGAACTCCAGTGTGGGGTGTAGCGTCCTGCCCCACTGGTGTGTTTCTGTGCCAGCAGCCTCGGGGCAGTGCCCGCCGCCCAGGCGCCACGAGAATGGGCCCCATCCTGCTCCGGTTCCTCCCGAGCCAGCTCCCAGTGGGGTGTCCCCAGCCTGGTGGTGGTGGGGTGTCTCTGGTGCAGGTAGTGGGGGATCTCAGGGAATACACAGCCCCCCCCTCACCCCCACATCCCTTTTCCCTGCAGAAATCCGCCGTCGAGGCTCCAAGGACCCCCTGGTCAAAGCCATCCTGCTGCTGGACGGTCCTGGCGAGCCGGGGGAGGGGGGCGGCAAGTCAGAGCCAGCCAAGAGGCCGGGAGGCAAGGAGCCGGCGGGGAAGGGGCCACAGCTTTACGACACCCCCTATGAACCCGGGGAGGGTGTGGCTGGGGGAACCCCGGAGCGCAGGGCGAGGGCTGGGGATGGGCGACTGCCCGAGAACGACGAGCGCCCGGCGGGCGAGTACGAGCAGCCCTGGGAGTGGAAGAAGGAGCAGATCGTCAAAGCGCTGTCAGGTAGGGAAGGGGACACGGATGGGGATGGGGACATGGATGGGGACAGGGACACGGATGGGGATGGGGACACGGATGGGGAGGGGGCTGGGGACAGACTTTAGTAGGGCCTGGAGCCATAGGACAAGGTGGGGATGGTTTTAAGCTAAAAGAGGGTGGATCCAGACTAGATCTAAAGAAGACATTTGGCACGCTGAGGGGGGGTGAGCCACTGGCCCAGGTTGCCTGGAGATGCTCCATCCCTGGAAAGACTCCAGGCCTGGTGGGACAGGGCTCTGAGCAACCTGGTCTGGTGGAAAATGTCCCTGCTGATGGCGGGGAGTTGGGGCATGGAACTAGATGGGGAGAGGGATGGGGATGGAGATGGGGAGGGGGTGACAACAGGGGTGGAGAGGGGGGATGGTGGTGGTCCTGAGGCTGGGGGGCAGGGATGGGTGGAGATAAGGCTGGAGAGGGCTTGGGGGCTCACGTCTCGTCTCATCCCCCCCCAACCCTCAGTCCAGTTTGAGGGCTCGGAGCGTCCCAAGGAGGAGACCCCGCGGCAGCACCTCCGCCAGAAGAGCTGGACCCCCAAGATGCTGAAGCCGGCGGGCGCCGAGCCCAGCGAGGGGGAGCGGGTGGACCCTGCCCTGGCGCTGGAGAAGCAGCCGTGAGTGGCGAGGCTGAGCCCTGTGTGGGAAACAGGAAAAACGGCGGTGGGGGGGTCTCCGGGGCTTTGCCACCTCTCAGTGTCCCCCCCGGTGTCCCCCCTGCAGCTGGTACCACGGGGCCATCACGCGGGCCGAGGCAGAGAGCCGGCTGCAGGCGTGCCGGGAGGCCGGCTACCTGGTGCGCACCAGTGAGACCGGCAGCGGCAAGTACTCCATTGCACTCAAGTGAGTGGCCACAGAGTGTGTGTGG